TTAACGGGCGAGGCAAAATTCTATCGCGGTCTGAAGGAGAGTTTTAACGGGCAGCTGCTCTTATCGTTTTCCGAGGTCTCTCCGAAGCGAATGCCGGAGCAGTACAGCCACAAACGGGCCACTAACATCTCGTGATCTTCACTTCTTCATTCACGCCATACCACTTATGGTGGGTGTTTAGAGTCTGTTCAGGATGGAGAGATGTATGGAGGGGAAACCATACGCCGGTTTGAAGGTCGACGCCAGATGTCACGTTCTGACGGAGAAGAAACCATCCCCTCCAAGGATATAACAAGAATTCTACTTACGAGTCTGATGACTAAAGTAGTTGAGCCGGTTGTTTGATTACTGATTTCGAGTGCGTCATTAGTCATTAGTCCCGTAAGTGTAGTGTATTTTTTATCGCGGGAGGGGGAGATGATCTTCCCCTGCACGATGGCGAGATCCGGCGCCTACCTATGCAGGGTATTCCTCAACTAGGTATCTCCCACCAGCGGGTCACCGCCGCAGTCGGGACAAGGTCTAAGCTGACGACTGGTCTCCCGACATGTGTGGTAGTGCAGTGCATGTAAGAGTGTGTAAGTAAGGGGTGAGGATAGAACAAAGAAGATGAAGGATAAGTCGCGGGCGGTGCGTGGCCCATTTTTAGGGTACTGCTTCGGCAGTCGCCTTGTGTCCATGGGGCAAACCTCGTAAAACTACAGGTCGGAGTCGCGTCCGTTAGAATTCTCCTTCAGACAGCCACTGAATTCGTCCTAGCTATAGTAGCTAGCGTCGAAAATCCTGCCACTGTCGGTAGTAGAACGCTAAGACCTCCTGGACAGAAGCATTTCCGTGACATCATTTGACGCCCTGAGCCACCGAAACCGATTCGACCCGCTCGGAAACAGCGCATCGCACGCGTGGGCGTGTACCTTCGCGTGGCGTCCCGAGGAGCGGGAGGACAGACCCGATCAGCGGGAGCGAGGGCGGACCCGGCACCCGTTCGGCCAGGCCCACGAGGCGAGCGCGACGCCGCCCCCGCCGCCACAGCGCCGCCCCCGCCGCCCACACCGCCGCCAGCGCCGCCGCCGCCGCCACCCACTGCCACATCGCTCAGCAGCCCTGCAATACACACAAGCATGCGCAAACTGACTTTCTCAGCTAATATTACGTACCTTGCTGTCCTAGTACACGGTAATATTATCTTTGTTATCTATTTCACTACTGTTGTGTCTTAGGAAGTGATGGAATAAATACACGTTCCTTTAACGAGGTTTAATAACCTGCAACAATCAGTACAATATAGTATAACTAACTTCCAGAATCGTTTACCGTGTGCACAGTCCTCCGGGTCCTCCGTGTACAGTCCTCGTACAGTCCTCCGTGCACAACGGGTCGTCCGTTGTCACACGCCGGGTAGTAGTCCAAGTTGTCGCAAAACCAGTGGAAGTAGACAGCAGCGGACGTCGCGCAAATTTATCACTCACTCAGGCAACGTCACTTCTCAGCGGAACGCTCCCGATTTCGGACTAGCGAATTGAAGCGGGCCGCCTACGAGTGGCCGTGATTCAAGGTCTTTGCCGCTCGCGAGCAGCTTTTCGGGGTTCGAGGCCAACGCGCTCCAACGCTCTTTTGGCGAGGGGAGGGGGAGGGGTGGCTGCGCGTTGAGAAGCGCCTGCTGCGTGTGGCCTCCGACGCTTGACAGCCCCGCGCCTAGCGGCGTTTGCCGAAATCACGCCGCTCTCCTGCCGGAATTCGCGCGGTTTACTATCTCGCCTTGCTATGGACTTGCGTTGTAAAGAGAAAGTGTTGTAATGCGGTGAAAGCAATCGGTGATTTTTTTGGACAAAAAAATCTTGGGTGTTCGGTCTCTGGTAACGAAAAGGCGGTTAAATCTTATTTCTATATACAGTAAACTTCCTCCTTTAACGGCGTGTACTCACAATTTGTAGGACCCCGATGACAAAAATCGATTCAGGGCAAAATAAATGCCGTCCATCAACCTGTCTCTTTGTCCGTCTGTGGTGAATTCTAGCGCCTAAACCGTTCAGCCGAATTTATTCAAAATCCATATTCTCCCCTAAATATAATAAAACCAAAGATCAGAAAGTTTGAAATAGAAGTTTTGATTTTAATTTTTGACATAAAACCTCCACATTTTAAAAATTTTCTCAAAAATGGCTCCAATTTTTTTTTATTAAACATTCTGGGGCAGAGTAAAGAAATGTTAAAAATGGCGCAGGTTGACACAGGGGTTTCATTGAAATCCCTGACTTTTTCGAAAATTGAAAAGTTGAAATTTTTTGGCGCCTTTCTATATCAGCGTTTGCCAACTGGCGGAGAAATAACGTCGGAGATTCCCCTTCGCATGCAGGCGATAAGAGAAGCAGTGCGAGCAAAGGGGGGAAGGAGAGAGGGGTAGACGGCTGTCGCCGGTGACGAAAACTTTGGCAATAGCAATGGCAGTGAGCCTTTGCCGGTGTTTCAGGCAGCACGAGAGCCCATCTATATCCTTTAATTTTATTTCGATTTGGAAAGAAATATTTATTTTTGTAAATACCATAACAATGGTGAAGTGTTTGGTGTGTTGGAAAGAAGTACAGTTTGTTAAAAAGTTCAACCCACAAAGGCATAACACATATTTGCAACCCAGAGAAACCAGCGAAATGAAAACAATTTCTGACAATTTTCACATAATCGGCAATAATGAGATAAAGAAAGGATTTTACAGATAGAAGATTATGGAAAAAGAACTGCAAATCACGAGGATTTACAACATTCTCAAAACTGTACATGCAAAATCAAGCCTCGATTCCACATTCTCCCATGCAACCCCTCCCGGGTATCTATTTTTTTATCTATTTGTTAACTACACAGGCCCCCAAAATACAAAAAGTTTTCAGATCCAAAGATTGATCTATGTTTACCTAGGTATGTCGACAGGATGAATCAGAATTCGAAGCCAGAATTGCGCCACCATCCTCCAGTTGTTATTTTTTTAAATCACGAAAAAACACCGTAAAATTGTAAATTGTAAATTTCGCTGTGTCTTTTTGCAATTAAAAAACACTGGAAAGCGGTGGCGCTATTCTGGCTTCGGATTCGTATACAGCGCGTCGACATACATAAAGGAATGTGACAAGTGGTGAGTCTGAAAACTTTTGGTTTCTATAGATTTTAATGCTACAAGACACCAATCTAAACACCAATCTACTATACGCATATGTTTTTCGCAATTAAAAAAACAATCTTGGCCGTGGTGCAATTCAGGGTTTGGATTCGGATTCAGGGCGTTGACATACGTAGAGACACGTGTCAAGTATTTGGGTCTGACACCTTTTCTATTGTGTGTGCCTGTGTTATTGGTTCAGGACGAGCTAAAATTGTTGTATTAAATAACCTTGTATAAAATATTCTATTAAAATTTTTAAAAACAGTCTTCTCCTATAATGTTATGCGTTAGAAGAATGGAAATGGAATCACTGGCTTCGACAGAGTGGAATATTGCTTTGTGTTATGAAATAATCTACAATCTATATTTTTAATTCATATTTTTATTGAATCATAAAATTTAAATAATGAATACCATTTAAAAACCTAATTATCGAGCGAACCTTTTCCCCCCACTTCCGTACCATCATTGGAACACTGCGCCCGGCGCCGTGTCGGGCACTGCCTTTGCTCAGCCGCTCTCTTCAACAGGAACAGGCGAGCAGTTTTTGTGACGTCACAGAGCATTGAGTTGGCAAGCACTGTCTTATATCTTCAATATTCTCATAAATTCTGTAGAGATTCTTTTCCTGAGTGAAATCTGTTGTTCTAAGTTAGATCTTGAAGAAGGCTATGAATAGTTTTTCGAAAATATGGGTAAATTTCGCAAGATTTTATGCGAAATGTAATTATTTTGAAACAATTATTTTCTCAAAATGTTTTCTTTAATTTTTCTTCGAAGAGAGAAAAGGAACATAAAAGAATATTGGTACTGGTCCCGTTTTTGGCGGTCTTTTGAAAACTGCAATAAAATTAACATTGCAAAAATACAAGTTTGATGTTAGAGATTTTCTTAAATTAATGGTTTTTAGAAAAGGTAATGCGCAATTTTGTTTTAAAAAAAATAGTAGTTTTTGCATAATTTTTGCTCAACGTTAATGCAATTTATAAAAATATTCTCAGCTTCTAAAACTTTTTTCTGGGAAGGGTAAAGGACGCTTAGAAAATGGCACGTTCCCATTGAACTCTGTGAATTTTTGAAAATTGCAAAAGTTAAAAATAATGCGAGACGTTATGTTTTGTTGTAACGCCACTAGTTTATTAGTGTACTATTTTTTTATAAATCCTGTAAAGCATTTAAACGTTTGTAATTTTCGATATAAGTGATCGATATAACACCACTTGCTAAGCGCGGTGCCTTCAATAATGCTAAAAATACATTTTTAACATTTTATAGTTGCTCGGCTCGTCCTGATTCACGTATAGACATTTATGCGAAAAACCTGGATTAAAATACATTTTACTTGTTAAGTTTGTATTACCTTTGAAAGTTATATTACAGTTAAAGTTTTATTACAGCCAGCAACTGATTAATTATTCAAATAATAAAAGTTGATGCAAATGTCGTAAATTTTATTATAATAATTTACAGCGTTTCACCAAGGTATTTGTAAGTGCATCAAAACCACGTGATTTTTAGAATTCTTTCTGAATATGCTAGAGGGTACCGTCTAAGAATAGTGCTAATCGATTTGTTTTGGCGAGAGAACCGAAAAAACTATTGAGTACTTCTAAAAGTGCCTTAAGGCACCTAAATTGCTTTTCAGTTGCTGAAAAAAATCGTTTTTAGAAATATTTCTTGGGATCATCTGAATATATCCGCAAAACGAACGGTTCTTTGCTTTTGCTTCTTCTAAAATCACAAGTATTCCTTACTTTTAATATACTGTAGTTTACAAGCAATGATCTGTTTTGCAAAACATCTAAGAGGTTAACGGTCAAACATAACATGTCTTGAATCTCTTGACACGTGATATTAAACTCTGTTTCGTTGAAGAATGCCTTTTGCACGCTGAATACATTGCCCGTCATCCCGGTCGGAGCAATCTGAATTCAAAAACATATTTCAGCTTTTCCCTCTAGTTTCGAGTTGTAGCTCCAGAAGGCTGGAGTGACAATTTCCGATTCAGAATTAATTGCATATGTTCTCTTCCTTGATGGATGAAAGAATCCAACAACGGTTGAAAATAATATACGATGATATGTTGTAAAACTATATACAGGCGGTGTGCCAAACAGTACACAAATATTGTGGGACTTTCTCCTTATTTTGTTCTGGAATCCATTTAATTGGCTGGATATCAAGATTGCAACATCATAACACGTACCTACTAACTTTTCTCGCAGTCAAATGGTCCCAAAAGTTGTTTAAAAAAATTAAGTATCTGACGTTCTATCAGCACTCCTAATATGGAAAGCTAATAAATATCCTCCGTCAGCATGAACGAACGAAAACTATTAGTGAGACCGCTGGAATATCAGATGTCAAATATCTTTGTACAAAATCATTGTTGTAGTCTGAAATACACTTTATTAATTCATTTTGAATTTTTTTGATTCATCACTTCATATATTTTTTATCTTAGAAATCTGGTTCTTAAACTCTCCAGGATTCTGTGATAAAAGCAAAGTCAATTGTTCCTGAAAATTCTCACGAATTTTCAGATATATATTCAGAATGAGTATTTTCAGAATGGACGCGAAATGGCAATTCTTAGTGTTTAAAGTAGAGTACTGAATCAATGTCTAACTTTAGCAAACGCCTGTTCAAGAGAACCATTTTCATTGTACTGCATAGTATAGGGGCTTGTAATTCACTTCAGGACTTTTGAAATTGTATTTCGGTTTGTTTTAAAAGTTGTCTACTTAACCTAGCATTTTACATGCCCTGGCGAATCTGAGTGTTTGTGAAACGCTTCTGTTATCTTCAACAGTGCGTCAAATCCTTCTTTATTGCAAATGTTGCTTTTATTGCTAATGTCAAGCATTACCAATACAATAATTTGTGTAGAGTTTGGACGGGAACAACCACAGGAATTCCTTAAACCATAACCGTTTGGAACTAAGGTTTGAGTAATTTTCTGAGTATTT